TGCCACATTGCTGCAATGCGCTGCTATCTAAATCACTCAGGGTAGTAATTGGATAGAGTAAACAAATTCAACTTAGAACCACTTTAAAGCTTACAGTGTGATAAAAATGTGAACTGAGCTGGACTGCCTTTCTTTTATCATCACCACCACGTGAGCGTTAGCTTGGACACGGGGAGAAAATGCATTCAATAAGCTTCATAATAAACATCTGACAGCAGCTAAACCACGTGTTGTCATCCAAAGCGAGCATTTAATAATATCACACAGCTGTCACTATGTCTTATTTAGATGTTGTTATTATTATTACGAGTTATAACCCGGCTATCACTAGCAGAGTAGCCCAGTAACGCTTTCTCGTTCAGAAAGAAATCAGAACAGCAAAGCGTTCATTCTGGTCTAATTCTGCAAGAAGAAAAATACAACGCACTGGTATCGCTCTGTTATTAAAAAAAAGACGTAAAAAAATATTGTTTGATGTAGTAATACTACTCATTCATCCACGTGTCACTTTCCCACGCCAGCTTGTACAGCCAACGCTCTACAAAGACACAGAAAACTCCAACTACAGATATCAGCCGCTGGGAAAAAAACGAGTACAAGTTGTTCCTCACCTCGTCTAGTGTTTCCAATGGGAATAAATCCAAATTGCACGCTAATAAAGCCTCCTCGCCTGTTCCCCACCGCGCCGCCATCTTGCATGCCCACTCCCTGCCGGGGACTCGTTTGAGAATGAAAAACTAGTGAATCAGAGGAGGAACAAACTGCAAGCCGGTAGGAAACACGTGGTTCAGCAATCCCGGCAAAATGACGCAGAATGACGCCGAGGGTCAAATGTCGCGTGACGACGTTTTCCGTTTGTTTGTAGTTCTCTTTCCTTGTTCGCCTACAAACCTGATTGTACGGCTTCCTAAGCAACAAACATTTTACTAAATACTAAAATATATTTTTTTTCTATAGTTTATTATGACTACCCGCTGGGAAACGGAGAATTATGCAAAACAAAAATGCTATTGAGCTTACCAAACATCAAGCAGGAATAATAATAAAAAAAGAAGATATCAATTTGGAAAAAAAAAAAAAATCTCAAATTAAGATTTGACAGAACACAGAACAGGGTTGACAGAGCGGTGGAAAAGGAAAAAAAAGCACTTTTAGGGAATTCAACAGAAGGGAAAAATAATACAAGATATAATACAAATGTAGAAATTATGTCATAATTATGAGATAATTTTTTACACTGTGGTTTTACTTTAAAATAATAACACTATGAGATTGTGGTTTTCCTTAGAACGTTGTGCACATTCTGATGGAGTTTACATGAAATCAGAGATAAATAATTTACTCTCAAGATTAGTGTTACATTCATACTTGGCTTTCATTGAAAATAGCAGTGATTCACTTTCTGCCCCATTCAAACCTGAATTCAAAACTGTACATTAAAGACAAAATCCTTTGGAGGGCAGTACTCACCCATAGGCCCCTAAATGTTCATTGTTCTGGGAGATTTAGGTTGAAAATATTTTCGTTCAACAACAAGTTTGATTCTGATAATGAGAGAGGCGTCTCTCAGATGATAAACCGATGTAAAGAAAAATCAGTTTTGGGGAAGATCGTTGTAATGATACAATTGAATACAATAACAACTGTTATGTTGAAAGTTAATAATAACTTTCTCAATAACCAGTCAATAATTAATTACCATCATAGCTAATGATACTCATTTTACATTTGCTAAGCAGCTTTTTGCAAGTCTCCTCTGGTGTTTTAAGGATTTCTCTTAGCTGAAGTCTTTGAGTTTGGAAGGCCTCTTGCCATCACCCTAATCTTTCTATCTCTCATCAAACCTTTTTAAATCAAGACTGTTAATATTACTTCTTGTCAAAACATGTTGGTTAAGTTAAAATGTTACTTTTGGCCCAACCCTTCCAGCAGTATGACTAAGTTTGCTCTTAAATGTGCCTGTTTCTACAGTACAAGACATCAAGAACAATTAGCATAAAAATGAAAAGTGCAATGAGAAAACAGCCAGTGATGAGATGAAGAGATTAAACAGCGTAAAGTACAAAAGTGGGGAGGGGAGTAGATTAATTTCTCATTATGACTTGTACTGCAAGTTTTAGAGAAGCTATTGGCAAATCCCTAAGTCTCATAGGTAAAAATGGATTACAGGCGAACCAAGCCACACAGCAGCTTCTAGCCCACGTGCTCAAGCTGTGTGGTCTCAGCGCGGTTTACCACTTTGTCTATCAGTGTGATCTCCATTCGTCAGAATCTCTGCTGGGTGGAAACAACTCCTAGTCAACGGCCACTTGCAGTATTTAAGAAGTCTTTCCACATTCTCCAATAGCGTTCTCATCTATGATTAAGCAATGATTAAACAATAATTAAACAATGTTTAATCATTGTTTAAAACATGATTAAACAACTGAGTACAAAAAAAAGTCCTGATAAAATGTTACATTTATATGTAGAATGCAGATGCTGCATAATCATTTCACTATTTATGCAATTATTCCATAGTTTCTTTTTGCAGAGTGTTGTGAATTCATTTTATTTGTCGAGATTACCTGCCAAAGTCAGTCAGTAGGGATAATGCTGTTATGGGCAAGATAATTGGTCTGCAGTTAAATTGCTGCGCAGGCTAACCAATTAAATGCTAGTGTCTGACTGCACAACCATTACAACAGCTTAAAATGTTTCATGACATATGGCAGCACAGAAGTTATAATGTAACTTATACATAAAACATTAAATATAATAAATCAAACTTTTGATTATTGATTGAAATATTTTCTAATCTTATTGTGTTTTTAAGGAATGCATTAATGGTGCATTTATACAAATATTGATGTTTTTATTTTATGAATGTGTGTGTCACAATTTTCTCTTAGATGCATCACATGTAAAGTTTAATCTTGATCTTATGCACACTGAAACTGTATCCTCTCAGTCTGAGATTAAATCAGATCAAACAATTAATTTAGTGTTTGAGTTTGGAGATTTACATGCATTTTAGTGTTAATTAGAAATACATTTTAAACCACATGTTTAAAATGGCTGTATGGCCTTCCACATGATTTTCATACGGGCTTGCTGGATTTTCAGCCCATTTCTCCAGGTTTGCGGGTCGCCTTGCTCATACATATTTCAGTTCCATCCACACATTTTCCGTTAGACTGAGGTCAGGGCTTTGTGAAGCCCAGTCCAAAACATTTATATTGCTGCCCCTACACCACTTTGTAGCTAATTTAGCTGTATGGTTATCATCTAGCGTTAGACCCATTAGCACCAAAGCTTTCTTTCCCTGGCTGATTCCTTGAGACGTTGATCCAGCATTTCCACATAAAATGCTGAAGTACATTGGTTACTCATGCATCCACACAACACGATGCAGACTATGAAACATCTTCCCCCCCACTCTTCCCCTGCAAATGTAATGCAGTGCGTAATGGCTAAATATTTCAATTTTAGTTCCATAAAACCACGGAACATGTATTCAAAGTTAAGAGCTTTTTCACTGAGTGCATTTGCAAATGGCAAATCTGCTTTTTCATCTTGCTTTTAGAGTACCTTGGTACAGGACTCATTTTGCTGTGGATAGAAATACTCTTAGCAGCTTCAATCGCCAGCTTCACAAGGTCTTTTGCTTTTGTTCTGAGATTGATGTGCACATTTCACATTGAAACACACTCATCTCTGGAACCCACAATCGTTCTCTCCTTCTCAAAACTGTGACGGTTAGATCTTCTCATGCTTGTATATTGATTGACATCTGCCTGATATTTTTTGATCGTCTCGCGGTGTCACAATAAGAGCCAGTGTTTTCAATTTCGTTTTAAATATTCATGAGTTCTGCAATGTTGTTAACTAACATGGATGCTTATTAAGCCATGACATTATCATCTGTCGTCATCAACAGTTTATAGAAATACTGATCACTGTGTGTGTGAACTAATTTACCAAGAGAAATACCAGAAGCTTTTAAAATATTCTTTCTCTGATTATTCTGGAATTTAGAAAATAGAAATAATTTTGGTAATCCTAACAGAAAAAGTTTAGTTCGATTTAAGGTTAAAAAAAAAAAAATCTTCTGCATTTTATTATACACTGTAATTAAATATTACCAATTTCAACTTTATAAATATTCTTTATTTTTTTGGAATGTGGCACTTTTGGCACCTAACATATAATACCATAATCTGTTTCTTTTATTGTTTTTAGCAGCAGCAGTAGTGATAATTGTTTCTTTCCTGTTTGGAAAAAAATAAACCACATTCACCATTAACATTTTAAATGTTTGTGTAAATCTGTTGATCTGTTTCATCATGCTGTGAAAATCATATTGGTTGTTTTTTTTTGTTGTTGTTGTTTGTTTTAACAACACGCTATTTTCTCCACTATTCTCATTACCAGCTGTTGCTGTTTTGGATTTAAAGTGCAGCACATTTGTAATTGCTTCCAGCGTGCTCTCCAACTTTCTGCCGTCATAACAAACCCAGACATTTTTCCCTCCGATTATCAGCCACGTCCCGATGAATCTGCGTCTCTCATGCCTGCTTACGCACATTGCTGTACATATGTGAGCTTGTCTGTCTGCGAGTGAGACAGAGAGAGAGAGAAAGAAAGGAAGATGGAAAGACAGGAAGAGGAGCGCTGATGTGCCCCAGCACTCTCCCAAACTGCTACCTACCTACCGGTGCTCTGCCGTTGTCATGGTTACAAGCCTCCCCTCCCACCTCACGGTCGTCTTTCTCGCTGGGTACAGGGAGATGAGAGGAGAGGAGAAGTGGATCTGGCTGCTGCCTCTGCGTCATATTCATACCAGTGCAGCTGAAAGCCTCCCCCTGGCGCCCCCTCCACCTCACCAACACACACATCCACCGCCTCCTCTTTCTTCCTTTCCTTCTTCCTTTCCTTCTCATCATCCAATTTGCACACTGCCAGATCCTCCTCAACCACCACCACCACCAGCGTCTCTCCATTTGTGTTTGCTATCTGCACCTGCTTATCACAGCACTCCGTCTCTCTCGACTGGACCTGCTGCGTTGGTGACCTGAGAGGACTTTCAGCAAGCAAGTGAGGGAGAGGAGAAGAGGAGGGGAGGGGAAGACAAAGGTAAGCACTGGCAGGACGGATATTTTTAAGTATGTTTGTGTCTGAAAGAGAGAGCGTGGGAGGTAAGAAAGAAAGAAAGAAAGAAAGAAAGAAAGGGAGAAAGCAAAGAGGTGTAGGACATGTAAAAAAAAAAGAAAAAAAAAAGCATGAGGAGAAACCATCTGTGGCAGAGATATCAAGAGCCACCAGGAGTGTTTTTGGATATTTTGGTGGGATTTATTAAAAAAAATAAAATAAAATAAAAAATGTAGACCGTTGGTGCACAAAAACAAGTGTTTGCTGTAAAACAACAGATGTGTGCCTCAGTCAGTGAGCTTGTGTGCAAGCACTTTGCTGTGTGTCACATATTGTTATTGAGCTGCTGCTATTACGTGTTCCCACGGCGGCGAGAGGGATTCGAATGCAGGGAAGAGGTGGGGGGGGGCAAAGGGGGGGCAGGCTTGATTATTTTCTCTGAAAGCTTTCCAAGCAATGTGTGGACGTGTTGACAGAGCAGCAATCTCTGCACCTTGAAGAGAGCTTGGAAAGAGTGTGTCTAACAGGGCAGTTTAGTCCTCAACTCAAATCTCTTGAAATGGATCATAATACCCCTTTGCCATTACTTCCCACACACTTCATCTTTTATTTCTTTAACAGGCAGTGGTGGATATGTACCCCTTTCTCCTCGTCTTTTATTTATTCGGCTGTTCAGAGTTTACAGTAGCGGGATCTGTTAATGTTAAACTACAATCGTGGCAGCTTTACAAGCATCGCAGGAAAACAAAACATATGAGAGAGATGAGCACACACACACACAGAGAGAGACAGAGAGAGAGAGAGAGAGAGAGAGAGAGAGAGAGAGAAAACGAGGAAGACCAAAGGGACAACAAGATCGCTGTCTGCAAAGGGGAAATAAAAACAGGAGAAAAAAGGGGGGCCCGGAGGGGTTGCTCATTGGATCTTGGTCCTGACAGCAGTGTCTGACATGGTGTATGACATTTAACTGTGATGTCTCTGTCAGTGCGACGGAGTGTGGGGAATGTGCCTGTCAGCTTTGATTTCAACAGAGACACGTTTGTTTGTCTTCTGTAAGTGAGTTAGATGACAGACAGAAAACAAGGATCTGAAGTTTGTTAAACTGAGCTTCAACCAGGAGAGTGCAGGGGCGGGGGGGGTCAGTCGAGGTGAGGCGGGGTGTTGCTGCTGAGAATTGGCAACCTGGTGGTGGCAGCATTTTCTTGTGGGAGGGAAGACAGGGAAGCTGGTCCCAATGGAATGGGAAAACCACATCATAGGCTGCAAAAGACTCAAGGCCAGAGTGCCAGAGTTTCACCTTCCAGCCGGACGACAACTAGCGCTGACCACCACAGACGGGTTTAAATCAGAGCACGCTTAGGTGTTGGAATGGCCTAGCTAAAGCACAAACCCACTTGAAAATTGATGTTTACTTTGTGTTTGCCTATCATATGAAATACTTAGGACATATTCTGAGGTTTGTGGGTCAAGAAGTGGCAAAAAGTGACAATGTTTGAGGGTTCTTCGCCATACTGTGGTCTTAGACATTTGCTGTAATTCAGTTAAACAACAGATTACACAAATAACAGAAAGGGATTTTACCTAGAGTGCATAAACTTTATGTAATAATACCTAAAAATCTTTAGCGTTTTCCTTTGTACAAGGTGAAAGTTTTTACTTTATGCCATTTCCACACAGCGTTTTCCTTTCACTTTTGCTACGGTGCTTGACATAGAGTACCAGAACACTATATCTACTATATCATCTTTCAGAAATGTTGATATATTGTTACAAAAATATTGCAGCAGAAATTGTTATTGCTATACACTGACCACAAGGGCAGCTCTGACTCCATTGTTTATGTTATGGTAAGAAAATATAAATAAGCCTGTCCTTTTCGGATAAATTGTTGGTTTGTAAAATGGTGTTTCATTTTGTTTCCTTTGTCTTTGTAATGTTGCAAATTTACCAAAAAGTAAATCCAGTCTGAATCTGATGTCTGTTGTGCACCGCACAACTACACACAGCACAGATCGAACGTGGCGAAGAGACATTTAGCAATCAGGAGTTTTTCATTATGTCTGAGCTGAAAAGCCTTGTCGTATTTGTAAAGACCAGTGACTTCATGCAGGAAAAAATGGAGAAAAAAAAGTGAAGTGCAATTGATTCAGGCCTTTGCTCCAACCCAATGTTTTGTTAGAACATTAAGGTTGAGTGTGCAAGGGTGGATACTTAAGAAAACTGCTCAAGAAAGACTGGAGCAATAAAGAAAAAAAAAAAACAGCTAAACTTGTAGACCCTTCAATTTGAGACTCATCCAGTGGAAAAATTCGGATGGTTGACGTTCCTTACTCTGAGTCATTAGGTTTTATATGCTACAACCAACCAGTTTGAGCCATGACTTGAAAGTTTTTACTTAGAAACTCTTGCCATCCAGTCTAACAGAGCCTTCGCTGTTTTGCAAAGAGTGGTCCAAAATCCTAATCTGCAGTGTGCCAAGCTATTGGGGATGTACCCCAAAAGACTTACAGCTGTGATTACTGCTAGAGGTGGATTTACAAAATACTGACTCAGGCGGGTTGAACACAAATGCATGTAATACTTTCCAGACTCTTGCACTTTATAGTTAGGCTCTACTTTGTGTTGGCCAGTAACAAAAATATGCTGAAGTTTGTGAGAAATGGGTAAAGTTTCAGGTGTTTTTAGGTTTAGAACATAGAGACATTGTGACAGATTAGTTAATGAAACTGTCTGTAGTCATCTGTCGAGATCACAACAACGACAAAGGTATTACACTTCTGGAAGTAAGTTGTGTGCTTGTGCTTGTGTGTTGGAAACTGTAAAAAAGTCTGGGCTTTGTGAACAGAATTTATGGGGCAGACACAAGCAAAACCAGAGAGGTGGACAACGTGAACAAAATAAAGCCTGCAGAGATTAAACAACAAAGTAGAGAGATTTAACAAAGAGAAATAAAAGTAGAAAAAAATAATAATCTAAATAATTGTGGAGACATCTGAAGCCAAGCCAGGTTGCGAACCTGCAGTTCTGTTGGGCCTGCACACGTGCATGCTGCATGCGCACGTTGTCCGTGCCTCCCGTGGGTCTCCAGTGTCCCTGCGCACTAGGAGGCCTTTGCATTTTTAATCGATCCTGTCTGTAGTGATTAAAACTGGTGTTCTCTCTGCAGCAGAAAAACAGAAAGATGGAGTGGGATTCGGAAAGAGAGATGGGAATCTGTCATACATGAGGCACAGTGTGTGTATGCGCACGCGCGTCCACGTGTGTGTGTGTGTGTTTGTTTGGCAGTAATTACCCTCTGCCTCTGGGCTCCTACTGAGTATGTTTATCTCCCACAGCAGCACAGGGCAAAAATAGATGATGCATCACTGCCACACATGCACTCACGCCTTTTGCATTTTTCCCTCTTTCCTCTCTTTTGCCCTAATTGCCTCCCTCCTGCATTCTCCGTTTCAAACGTGCGTTCGCCCTCACTCTGATCCACATTCCCTCCTCTAGTCTCACACGCTGCCTAGACTCTTTCTTCCTGTTTCACTGCTCTCTGGTTTTCCCTCCCACTCATGTTGCAATATGTCTATTAATGATGCAGCTTGAGCACTGCTGCCAACTTCCTGCCTCTGACAGAGAGAGAGGAGTGTGGTTGTGTTCTACATGGCCTGCTTTTTCACCACTCCCTCTTATCTCTCCTCCCCTCTATGTCTGTGCTGTTTTCCTCAGAGTTAGCCCATGCGAGCGGCGTGTGGACTGAGTGCAGCTGTTTCGTTCAGAGAGGAGCCCAACATGTGAGAAGATGTCTGTTGGAGGCTGTGCTTGCCCCGGTGAGTGCTCACTCTTTCCTTCCTCCTCTGTCTCTGCGCTCAGCGGTGCTGTCAGACAAAAAAATAAAAAATAAAAATTTGACTTATGCAGAAAGTGCTGCAAAGCCCCCTGGAGCCAGCACCGAGCTGTGTGACTTCTGGGTGTTTGTGTGTGTATGTGTCGGTGAAACCAATGCCAGACTTTTTAACACAAGGTTAAAAACTGAAGCTGCCACACTGTGGGATTGAGTTGTTCAGCAGAGCCTCTCAGTCACGCTGGCTTGCTGCGCAGCAGATCAATGGCTCAGAGTTTTACCACAGACAGAGAAACTGAAATATCGATAGGTACTTCATTTGCTGGCAGTTTTTACTCATTTTTGCAGCTTTATCTTACCAGTGCAGGCCTGGAAAGATAAAGCCTGCAGGTCTGTTTCTTGGTTATTTGTAAGTTGTAGAGGCTGATGAATAGTCATTGCACTCCAACTGTTTGTTATATTATTACAGTCCTAATAATGCTCTTTATAATATTTTAACATTCTCATATCTTTTGCTCTATATGGAGTCACTTTGAGTCTTATAGTTGATTTAGCAGGTATATCAGTCTTACGATCTGCTCAGGAAGCTAGCCTGCAGCCTGCTGCTTTACAGACATGCCGCTTACAGGAGTTTTTATAAGAGAGATGGCTGATACTACTTTAGTGTTTTCACCATTACTGTCAGGTAATAGTTTTTCATACAGACAAATACTTATCTGTTATGTTATGTTATGTTGAACTCGAGGGAGAAATAATCAAATTCTTTCAGCTTAATGACTGACAATTCGCAGGAACTGGTGGGGAAGGGCTGCATCACTTGCGTGTGTGAAGTCAAATTTTCTGGTACAGAATACAAAAAAATGCATCTGAAGTAAGACGTTTCAGGGGGAGTGGGGAAGCAATGCATAGGTATGGACATGCTGCCTTAGTGTTTGAATGCAGAAAAGATAGAAACAGATGTTGTTATCGGCTTACAGCTGGCGCCGAAGCACATAGCAATCCTATTTTATATGAGCAGCAGCCATTTTGAACTCTGAACTCCAAGCTGTTCATCAAGCTCCAACTTTATTTTTTAATATATGAATGCATAAAGTAGAACAGAATACAATGTTATCAGGTAATGGTGGATTAGGAAAGCCCACTGGGTTTTTGACTTGCAGTAGCTTGTGCTAAACCCGGGTGTAACATCCTTTCCCAATCCAATCTCTAACTTCCAAGACACATCCAGTGGAGCAAAATTAGTCGACTAGATGAACAGAAGAAAAGTTGCTCTTCCCTTCCATCTAAGCAACATGAGAATAAGAGAGAAAGGCGAAAATGTATCTTCACAAAGATGTCAGTCAATGTCTAATTGTGGTTGAATGTTGGTTGGACAGAAGAAACTAACAAACCGAGGCTGACCTTTAATATCTTTATTTTAGCAAAAATTGGATGGGACCCTTTCAATGCATTTTAATGGCTATATAAAGCCAAGGACTAGTCAACCTTTAACAACCTAAAGACAACTCGGACCTCCTCCATCATCTCATTAAAAGGACTTTAGTCTGTATAGACAGCATGACATCTTCTTGTTTGCTTTTGCCGTTTTAAAATCGCATCCTTTTAAAAGCTTGATAAATCTTGTTATCGGTCTAACCTACCGATGCTTGGTTACACCTGAATGAGACTCTAGTAACTCGCGGGCTGTGAAATACATTTAAGCCGCTCTCCCTTGGAGAGTTTTAACAATTAATGAGGGTGCTTAAGATTAAAAAAATAGAGCTGAATTTGCTTTAAGCTAAGCTGCTTATTTTTAAGTGTGACTTTGCACTTTACCTTTCTGTGTGTTGAATGTCTCTCTACAGTAATTAATGTTGACATCTGAGATTAAAAATTGATACTTGCAAAAATTACTCTAAGTCTTGCTTGGATGGAGTTCCCACACTCGGTTTGCATCACATACAGAAGGAAACTCTCTACAGTCTTTCCTTCTGGATGTCTCTATTTGGCAAACAAATAGTTTTTGGCCTATTTTAAAAAAGCAAATGGCACAGTATGCATAAATATTTTCTTTTTTTTTTCTTGGTCTCAGTTTATCTTCTACTGAGAGAGAGAAAGATCACTGCTTTGTTTGTGGAAAAAGTGGGAGCAGGGGACAGACTGTGTGGCACGAGGGAGTGAGTATTAGACATAAATGAAACTATAGTATCTGCTCCTGGGAAAATCAGAGAAGGCAGATTGAATTAGGGCTTCAGAATCATTTGAATGAGGGTGCCTTGATTCATTAACAATAGCCCATCAGGCAGTGTGTTAGGTCTTTGCTGGACTTGTTCCCTTTCCTCCCTCCCATCCGGCTTTCTCGCTGCCTTCTGTAGTTTTCCTAGTATCTCAGTCTTCTTTCACTGCCAGACGTTACTGTGGAGCAGCAACTTTTAATCACATCCATGTGTTTTTGAGGGATGTATATAAAAGAACAAAGTGCAGCAGAAAGACCTGCCATCATTCAAAGTCTTGTAAGCTACAAACCCTTCCATGCAAATAAGCATGCGCCTGCAGTCTCACACACAGACGCGCACTTCTGCGAGCAGCCTGCTAGGACAAGTTTAAGCTGGTAGATCGCACAGATAAGCTCGCATGCTTCAGTCTCCCTCTTCCTTCTTAGGCACGAGCTGCAAATCATCATGTTTGCATACTTTGCATTTTCACAGCAGGGTAGATGGAAGATCTCCCGAAACACTTCTGGAGTACTTTCACGGCACATACAAAATTCAAGTCAAAGCTAAACTTTCTATTTTGTGAAGTCTTTGCTTACTGGGTGAGGATTTCACATGATGCAACAGAGGAGTTTTGCACATGTTCTAATAAATAACAGGCTGCTCCCGTCTGTCTTGTTCTTCTGCAACCCTGTGGCATTCTGCTGTTGCTGGGATTTAGCTGTGAATCAGCCCTTTTCGGGCTTTGCTCCATGCATGAAGGAGATTCGTCCTAACACAGAGGAGCCAATCACATCCTTTGTTCTGGCTAAATGGTAAAAATAGATTGCCTCCGAGCTGAAGATACCCCCACCTCACAACAGCCTGACTCAAGCATGCACTCCCCTCTGCTCACCACTCTCTCTTTCCCTCTCTGACCCCCCCCCTTCCCCACCGCGCCTCCCTCCCTCATCTCTTCGTCTTTGACTCTTGCTTCCCTTGTTGCCTTTCTGCAGGAACAGCAGCGTTACCTCATGCAGAAAGTCACAGTGTTCCCAATTGGGAAAAAAAGTGACTTAAAGCAAGATGGCAGTCAAACAGCAAGCACTTTTCTCTCTCTCTCTCTTTTTTTTATTTTTATTCCTGTTACACAACAACCCCACCACAGCCTCAGCCTTATCTTTGTTGCACTAAAACGCTTGAGTCTCTCGGCCGTCGTTCCCACTGCCGTTCTCACTTTTTCCCATTCCCTCCGCGGCCTTCTCTCCGAACCCACAGATTTTGTTTGTTAGATCAAAATGGCTGTGTGTGCAGAGGCAGAGAGAAAGAAGGAATGCGTGGGAGAAAGAGATGCTGGGGAATCAGAGAGGGGGGGTTGCGGAGCGGCGCCGGGCTGCGGTGATGTCACATCTGCTTTGGGCTGACAGGATGGCAAAAGAAAGCTGCCATGGGCCTCAACAGCTGAGAGGAAGGGGAGAAAAATAAATGCCCGAGAAGGAGAGATTTGGATCAAAGCGCAAAGTGTATGCTGTAAGAGATCTGCAGAGCGGTGAAAACACGACGGCATGTTTGGAGCCAGACTACAGAGGATGATGCTGCTGAGACTGAAAACAAAAAGAGACACTTGTGTCTCTGCGGCTGCAAGAGAGTGGGCTCAAAGCACAAGTACACAAAGCAATAAGCAGGCAAAAATATCAAAAATAAACTGTGCTCATAGCAAATGGCACACTGCACACTTGTTGATGATGTTACTTTGAAATAATGGGAAGGTTTATATGAAACCTGTTGCTGTGTGACAATAAGAGCAGAGAATGCTCCTACAAACATAAAACAGATTACAGCATTTGGACAATAAATTATCCATTGTTATTACGTAATCAATAAAGAGCATGTACATCTAAAGCCACAGGATATAATCACAAAAATCTGCTTCTTTGTTTCTCAGTTTAAAAGTAGGAATCAAGTTGCAAAGAAAATGCATAATTATACTGTGATGTTATGATGTTGTCAACATTCCAACATCTAGAAAAAAAACCCCCATCAGAGTAGAAAGGTTCATTAATTTATTTTACAAATTACATCCATATTGATTAATTACTGAGTGATGTAATTCAGGCATTTATTTCTGTTCATTTTAATGATTATGACTTACAAAAACCCATATTATTTTTCTTAAATGTAATGTTTCTTAAGACCAAAGAAAAAGGTATATTTTATACAAAAATGTTTGGCCACTGAAAATAATGAATGCCTATGGCTCCTCTGCAGAGATACTAAGAAGCCTGGCTTGGTTTAATTGCTGCTTTCAGCTTTTCTGGATAACTGGCTCTCATGTCTCCATCTTTTTCTCCTCGACGGAACTCAATATTTTCTTCATGGAGTCTCTGTCAGTCCATTTCGCTGGTCAGTTCAGTCGTGCTATCTTGGTAATTAAATTTAAGTTTAATTAGCATGCCAAGTGCAGATGAAAAATTAAAACAGCACCTCCATAAATCTTGTCAGCAGAAAAAAATGATCTTAAATTTCTTTGGATGATGTGTGTCTCCACTCTGGGACACTGGTTTCCAAACAAAATACAAACTTTACTTCAGCAACAATCTTGACTTTGTCCAAATTATGGAATGGACATTGTTTTGTGGACTTATCTGAACTTCGGCACATTTTTTTGTCACCATAGTTTTTCCTGCCACTCAACTTTCTGTTGAGGGAAACTAGTGGACAGTGTACCGGACAACCGTAAAATCTGCAGAGTTCACCACCAGTGAACACGTAGGGGGCAGTGATTATGTGGGTCATAATATAACATTTTTGTATC